AATTCTATATCTCACTTGTTTTCTCTGTTTACTTTATACTTAACTTTTTCGTAAGCCCTATTCATTCCATTTCCGTAATAACTCTTCGATACATACGTACCCACCTTAAAGTTCGCGTGACGTGGCATAGTCCTGCAAGTGCGGCTCGGACACCGATATTTATGCCGTGTTCATAAATTCCAGGGTTAGTGCCCTGGGTGCGGCGAGGAGTGCCGGGAGGCGCGGCTACTCATTAGCGGGCGACGGGCATGGCTAATGCGGGTGGGACGGGTTTAAAAAAAGTACCTACACTAGTTGTAGTCATCACTCAAGGGGTGTTATAGAAAAGAAACAAAAGAGTATATAATAAGTAACTGTTTTGAAACATAAAAAGTGTAAAGCGATTTTTTGAGTACGTAACCGCTTAATTAGGTATTCGGCTGCTAATAAAAGGGCACAAAAAAGAATTAGCTCATTGCAAATTAACCTTTTTTGAATGAACTATTCATTTAACTTTGTGTACTGATCAAATGTGAAATAAACAAAAAACTATTGAGTATTTTTTTTTTTATTTTGTATATACGTACAGATCCAATTTTAGGTAAACTATTATTATTTAAATGGAGATTGTAGGTTAAATTCTTTGGTTACACAAAACATTATAAGAATTCTAATGATTCCCTTATTTTCCTGTGCCCTTCTTAATCACTGATATAGGTAAGCCAAGGTAACTTATTTTCAGCAGGCTTTAAATACTTGACCACTCGTTTTTTGAACAGAATTTTGATTTTACTATGAAATACCTTTCGTTTTATTAAAATATAAAGAGTTTCATAATTTTGTGCTTGAAACAAACAACAAATAGCCAGAAAAGATCGTATTTGACATTACTGGGAGTGAAACCAGTAATCTCGGAATTGAAGGCTTCGTCAAGTTCGACTCCTTAGCTACGAAAACTAAAACCTTAATAATGAATTTCCGACTTTGTTACATCTTTTTGTTTATTTTATCTCCACTTAAGGGTTAAAATCCTTAGGCAGACAGAATGTCTAATCATTTGGATTGAATTATGGATTTGGACCCTAAAGTGGAGATGCAGCAAACACTTTATTTGTTTGGTTTTTTGCAAATAGATAATAACTTTATTATTTTTTTGACATTGGATTCTTGCATCAATCCGTATTTAATAGTATAATATTAATAATCTACAATTTTTATCCACAACTTATTTTTATTTTATAGCACCATGACTGAGTAAAATGGAAAAAAGTTTTTGGCCAACTTTGGGACCAATTTACTATAGACCCCCGAGCCGCCAATTATTTTTATTTTTAAATTTTTTAGATATTTTTGTTTACTGTATCTCCGAAGTGAAAAATTAACATAGCGCCAAAAATAGGTAGACTGCACTATTTTCACAAAAAAATAGACATGCGTTCTCCGTAAGTTTAACAAAAAATGAGATACATATTTTATCTAAACACAGTTTGCAACCGTGTCTAACTTTTAGTGGTGAGAGCCAAAAGAGTATACTTTTAACCAAGAGAAGTGATATATTTAAGCACGTAACTGCTAGATGTTTAAATAAAAAATAAATAAACAAAATCTTTGGATTTAAAGGCAGCGGTAGCATAACGGTCAGTGCATTCGAGTTCCGTCTGCTGCCTAGTCCGCGTAGAATTTGACCTAATAAGAAAAATATTAAGAATTAATACTAGTGATTTTTCCATCAGCATTATACGTAGTCATGAGTGGATGACGCGAACTCAACGTATGACCAAATAGGTATATTTGATTAAAATGTCAGGTGGGGGTGCGGCATGCTATTTACTAACGAAAGGCAGGACCGATGAAGAACTATTAATAATGGAACTCATTTTGAAATAAAAAATTAAAGAAACATAAGTATGCATTAAATAGAGCAAATTTTAAATAAATAGACTTAATATAAATCACTTTATTCCTTTTAAAAAATAATACATTAAAATTTCGTCCTGATAAACTTAAATGAAATTTTTGCCTAAGGTACATGTTGTTTTATATTTCTACTGCTGCCAGAAGTATGTTAACAGCATTAATTTTAATCAAAATCTTTGAATATGACCGTAAAAAAGAAGTGAGGAAAGAGTACAAAAAAAGACACTGAAATAAATAGACTACGTAAACTGACACATCAGTTAATAGCTGCAGCCAATGATATTATATAAAAGTAGATGTGTCAGAAGCGCGCACGCTGTGAAAACTCGAAAACAGGCCAATTGGAGCGTTTTTCATTGCATAATCATTGGAACGTAACATTTGAAGTTGGAACAGATTTTAAACGCAATTACTATGAATGACATGTAAAAAAATATATAATCTACTGTATAAAAATAAGTCGGGTTTTCCTTCCTGACGCTATAACTCCAGAACGCACGAACCGATTTCCACGGTTTTACATTCGTTGGAAAGGTCTCGGGCTCCGTGAGGTTTATAGTAAAGAAAATTCAGGAAAAATTAAAAAAAAATCTTCTTTTAATCACCAAACGAAATGTTACATAAAACGAAGCCATCTGGTGGCGAAACGGAGTTCGCCGGGTTTGCTAGTCGTGTATAAAATGATTGTGAATCTATAGAAATAATATTTTCATTGGCTGCTGCAAAATTATTAAGGGAGCAAGAAAATTAAAGCTATAAAGAAAATATTGTTTGTTGGTGTCCGTACAATGTTCGCACACTTCTAATTGGAAAACCGTATGCTTTTAATGTTGGTTGGTGTTTACGGTTTTGGATTACTAATGGCACGGAAGGGTTACAAAACTCATATCGTGGGTAATTTTGTTAAAAGCACCAGTCGGTTGGGTGTACAGTTTTAGGTTTAAAATGATTGGATATTTCTATACTGGACTATACAAAAATGATGAAATAGACCAATTTTAGATTGGATAAGGCTTGAAATACTATATAATTGTTTTTGATCAGCAATAGAATCCTAAAATGCGTAATAACTAGGTAATCTTTTATTTGATTCTGATTTAAATTCCTTTATGTAATATGATATGTGAGGTTAATTCACTGATGACGCTGCTGCCCGTCACCAGTGAGATTTCCTTCCCCTACGTCAATGGATGGCTATACCGCCATCGGTCGGTTTGCCAGAGCCTCGTCTGTTGGTCGACAGGGTGCACCACGTGAAGGTGAGGTAGGCTTGGGTTCTTGCAGGTGTATTTGGAACCCCTTACACCCCGAGTAGCCCAAGATCGACCTCAGTGGCGTACAATTGGAGAGGCCTATGTCCAGCAGTGGTCAAGGATAGGCTGTTGATGATGATGATGATGATGTAATATGAGGAGGTGGCGCTACTTAACAGTTTTATTACCTTAAAACTATCTTGTTCGTTAGAGTTTTAAAACAACAAAGACAATTAACTACATTTAACGCTTGTCGCTGCAGACAAAGTTCTTCCATTTCTAGAGTCGTGCATCGATAAATAGAAGAACTTTTCTGTTTAAATTTTTTAACTCATTATCAGTGTGATGTTCTCACGCTTGTCCGTCCCCATAGCATAAGCACCACAATTTACATTATATCACGTTTTTATCGTGTCGAAATGTCAAACTCAATAGTAATTTGACAAATGAGCGTGATAAAAACGCGTTATATATCATATCGCGGTGCTCATGCTAGGGGCTGGGCCATAGTTATATCCTATCGATGGAATAAGGATATAAAGGCCTCTCACTACGCAAACCCAGTGCGCACTGGTGAATGCAAATGATTGCATATGCAGCATTACGCGATTTCTAAAGCGCGAAATAATATCCCATCGTATGACTGACCATCACGAAGCATAAAAGATAAATAGCGCTATCGAGATCTTCATTGTTTAACGAATAGGTGTTAATTGTAATTAGAAGAATTAGAATTGCTGTTTTATTTTTAGAATACACATATTTTTGCTAGTTCTACTCGGCACAATTTAATGTATCATGTCGCCCATTTTTTAAGCTTTTTGATGACTAAAATGCCGAATAACGTTATTCTATAGAGAATTGGGAAAAGAGTTTCCGGAAAGTAACAAAATAATATTTACATTATAATATATAATATATTATAATTCTAATATATATAAAATATATTAAACAATGAAAAATACTACTACACAAACAGGAAAACTGTCTTGCGAAAATTCAGAAAAAATATAAGTAATTAAATATACGTCTAACATTACAATCCACAATTTCACATCATTCTAACATTTTAATAGTAGCAAATGTCATATGTTTTTTATATAGAAATTAAATCAATTATGAAATTGCTCTTAATAGTAACAACATTCCTAATTTACATTTAGACACAAATTATATCTGGATTCAAATGATAGATCAAACGTTTTCTATATTGTTTTATATAATAAACCACGAAATAGTTGAACACGAAACAACAAGTGGCGGTCTGATAGAAAAAAGTTTCTCGCAAGTAACAAAATAATATTTACGACGTCAGCAATCTTAGAATTCAGAACTACAGTCCCACATAACCCTGTTGCCTTGGGGTACCTCCTCCTCCTCCATAGGGTATCTGCCATGCATTTCTCTTGAGTTAATAAAAGCCTTAATACAAAACGATTGCCTTGGAAGCTTTTATTAGCATAGCTGATAGTGCACCCGCCAGGATAGCGGAAGGCGTTGGTCTAAATCCAGCGCGAAACCTGAACCGAGCTAAATAAATACCAGTATTTTTTTTAGGTTTAAATCAATTTTATGTAGATTTTGCATTTACTCTCGTGGCCTACTCGTAAAAGAGTTTTATTACATAAATTTGTGTGACGAATGACCCCACAAACCCTAATGTTAAGTGACGGTGGAGTCCAGACGCGCAGATAGCTGATCCAGCAGCTTTATCTGTCACGCGCGTGGATAAGAATAAATCCTCAGAACACTTAGTAAACGTGGTGACGATACAACACGCTAAATGACGCCATATTATGGCGTGATTGAGAAGTATAAACTAAGGAGACTGATATCGTAACTGATTCCCAGATGAATTTCGAAGCCGCACCTGCTGCCAAGATGATGTCATCAAGCTGAGCTGCAACCCTCACTCCAGGGTCGCCATCTTCGATGCCCAGTATGGCAGGAATGCCTACGAGCCCGTCACATGCCATCAGACCGGCATGCCTGATGAGTGTGAGTATTATTTGAAGAATATTTTGAGTACATAAATGGCATTTTTATACCACGTTGGCAAAAAAAGAAGTGGGATTTTTTTCCTTTGTTTCTTTTTAAAAGCTTTTCTGTTTTGTCACATTATTGCGCCTATTATCACAAAAACATAATTATGTACAGTACAGTATTTAAATAAGAAACTCATTTCACGCTAGCATCCACTATTAACCCATATGTTTTCATTTGTTGTGAAAGGTTTACCCAAACTAAGTCCTTCAAGTGCCAAGAAAAACATATAATGGCTGTTTATTCCTGTCCATTTTTCGCGGCAGGTGCTCCAAGCAGCTATTATTTCCCGCTTGATTAATAGATGTCGCTCTCCCCGTTAGGACGGACGGTGGTGGCGTGCCCGACTCGTGTATGAGTTTCTCCACTAACTTTCTTATAAAGTCGTTAGTGAGGTGTCGCTGAAACTTTATGTATTGTTTACCTTTTTTCTGAAGTCTGTCGGAAGTGTTTGTTTTTACTTATTGTGTTTGTGTATTATTTACTTACGTAAAATATGTAATATTGTAGGGTTTTTTTAGGCAAAGAGGCTTATGTATTATAAGGACACGCTATTTCGTAAAGGGTTGATGTAAGGCCGTCAAAGTTGCTGGCAAAAAAAAACCATGAAGGTTGAAGAAGGAAAAAATTATAAATAACATTACGAATATAAACACTTACGGTCTTAACACTAAAGTTTTTAAACATTGTTGAAATTTAGACCTTGTTAAAAATGAAGCCGTCTCTGCAGTGTTGGGGCGTTAAATAATACAACTGACTGCGATTAAAGAGAGCATTTATTAGTAATACATGCTTTTATATATTAGGTAAGATGAGTGTGTGTGCATATAGGTAGTACATACACAAAAATAGAAACATTTTATTTATTTAATGTTGTTGATTCTATATCACTTTTAAAAATAATATGCAAGTAATATATAATAATAAGTATATCAGATTATCATACCTAACATTACAAGAAAGAATGTAATATTGTACGGAATAGGCAATTTTTCAGATAACAGGTTACAAAAAAATCTAAAGAATAATATTATAATAAATAATATGTATATAAAATATATTAAACAATGAAAAATACTACTATACAAACAGGAAAATCATCATGCGTAAATTCAGAAAAAAATATAAGTAAGTAAATAGACGTCTTACATTACAATCCACAATTTCACATCATTCTAACATTTTAATAGTAACAAATGTCATATACTTTTTATTCAAAAATTAAATCAATGATAAAATTGCTCTTAGGAGTAACAACATACGTAATTCTTTAGACACAAATTATATCTGGATTTAACTGATAGATCATTTAACATATTTAAAAAATCACACGTATTTATATTGTTTTTTATAATAAACCACAAAATAGTTATAAAATAATAAAATGTTTTTATTAGGGCTTAAAAACAAATGACGGGCGGTCCTAACCAACCTAATTACTTCTTACTACCAAAAAAACAATATCATTCATGATTTCATAGATAGGTATACAATAAGTACCTATTGCTTTACATTTCTTCGTCCGCACTTGCATCATCTTCACATCCATCTAAAAAATGTACGTAAGACTTTAAGTGTTAAACTTTGATACTAGCTAATTTTGTATGCTGAATATTTTTCACTTGACAAACTCTGCCTTAGTGAAATACATACCTGATTCATGTATATATTTTTACGTACTTATCGTCTCTATTCATTGTAATTCATATAAATTTCAATGATTCTTGTAGCAAAATACCAAATTTTTAAATTTTGATAGATACACAGTACATACATACGGGTATTTCAATCGTAAAAATTTCAACATGTAAAGAAAAAAATTCGAGTGCCTGACTTGAAACTTTCGTAAAATAACTACAATGCCAATAGATGTTACCTTTGTATTCACGTCACACCACACGTGTTGCTAGGTCAGCACTCACAATGTCGTTCGATTATGAACTACGAAAAAACGAAATCACAACTTTTCATTTAACTGCATCGTGAATTTAAGTTTTTGAATTAAAAACAATTACTTTAATAATATCATACACTAAAACGAAATTTTATATTCTAATTGTTCACCGACTCCAAAAAGGCGGAGTAAATTTCGTAACTATTTCCCTACGATTTCCCTATATTCTGACACGCAAAAAGAATTCTAATAAATACAATCGAATTAAATATTCTCGGTGTAAAAATAGGTCACTTTCGATAACGATTCCGCATACTCAAAGCTGTAAAATTTAGAAAACAACATAAATAAGTCCAGTAATGTAATTAAAATATCGCCAACAATTTTTTTTTCACTACATGATAAACTTAACTCACATACAATAAATTATAAAAAGAAGTATAATTCATTATGAAAAATAAATCCTTCAAACTGTATATTTTTAGTTATTAGACAGAGAAAAAAATAATTACCTGTTACATTAAATATAATTATTAAAATATTCAAAACTAACATTTTATGTCATGCGAAATGGGAATAACCTAAAAAAGCTTATGGTATTTAAAGAAAATATAACTAGAAAAAATTCCACGCGGACTTATGGTATTTAATAAACATCAGGAAAATAATATCTGTAGTTCCACATAATTTTGTACTTGGCGTTGTTTTCCTTCCCTTTTGGCCTTATTTACCTCCGGCAGTGTCCACTTCCGACACCATCAACTCCCGGGAGCCTGCTGTTCTTGATCATCCATTTCCATCTCCATCCAACAACAAACAAGAACCGACAACTGACCTCCCAGGCAAAATCTTCCTTTTATTAGTCACTTTTAAGTACCAAAACTTTTGTTTTATTTTGTTCACATTTGAAGAATTTATTATTTTTATAGTTTATGATTATGTATAGCTATTTATTAGATATTAGAATGAATATTTTAAGTAATATTTTTTAAGAGTCGTTTCTTTTTATCTCCATCCATCTGTCGATTAGGAGACACTTGCGAAACTCAGTGCTACTGCTGGATATCCATTCCATTGGTTCACACTACGCGACACATTTAGGCCCGTATTAATAGGTCACTCTTAATTCTGAGAGCGATTTTAAGTACGATCTTGAAATGCTGTTTTCTTTTATTTATTTAATAGTTTTGTATGAATACAGTATCTCAAGATCGGAAACACAACGCCATCAAAAGGTGGTGTTTCTTAAACGTTGTCTTATGTAAGGTAATTTCCACTTACCTTTCTTAAGGTATGTGTGTTTGTCACACCACAGAGACATCAGTATACCGGTTTTCAAGTTGTCACCTACTCAGAGGATCTGGGTTCATATTCCGGTGGGGCAAATGTTTGTATGGTGAATACATAGTTATATATTTCTTTAAAAGTATACTTATCCATGTATCATTATTATGTATTTCTATCCGTTACCCTAGAATCCCATAAAAAAAGCTTAAATGTCTTAGCACACTCACACGACTTCGTGTATACCCAGGAAAAATAATATAATTCGAATAGTTATGTTGTTATTTTTTTTTAGCAATTAACTGCTTGATGTTTGAATCTAAAGAAAAGTTTACTAGAAAAAAATCCACACGGACTCAACCTCGACCCGCACCCTTCGCTATCCGGGCGAATGCACTGACCATTATGCTACCGCGGCCCTGAATTTCCTCTAGGTTTCGGCTGCAAGGCAGCGCCATCTCTTCGCATTGTAGGTTATCCACAATGACAAATGAATACTTTTACAAGTATTAAACATTTGAAAGAAGAAATAGCAATTATAGTTATGTTGTTATTTTTTTAAGCAAGTAACTGCTAGATGTTTAAATCTAAAGAAAAGTTTACTTGAAAAATTCAAATAATGCGCTTTAAGTATTGGTTTTTAAATATGTTTTACATTGGCAACATAAATTAGCAGACAGCTTGCTTTCAGCGAGCTGAGTATTAGTTGACGTCTCGCTTACCATGCGTTGGAAGTGGTCTACGCAGTGACCGCGCGCTGACTGCTAGTAGGCCATTCTCGAATTATCTACCAAGCAACTCGCTGACAGTTGGCTTTCGACGCGTGGACAGTTCGCTGCCTGCTAGCTGTCGCCGCATAGACTCTGAGCAGTTTCCCTAATTTAGGGCAGTATTGGGTGGGAGCGGTGTTGGAACAGACTCGTGTAAATGGGCTATGACCTTTACAGTGCTTACTTTGGGGCTGGGCTAATTGGTGGAATGTTAGAAATATTTATTTATTTTCATTTCTTCATTGTAGTGTGCATGGCGCCGCGTTCCCTGGACATTGTGATGCAGATATGCCACGGAAAACGTAGGTGCCAAGTCGAAGCTAGCGACAGAGTTTTCGGTAACACTTGCAGTGCGAAGACTAGAACTTATCTCAAAGTTATATATGCGTGTGGTGAGTTTATGAATTCTATTATTCGTTTATGAGAAACTAGAAGGCGCAGGCGGTTAGCACGTTAGGATGCGATCGTTGAAGTTAAGCAAATGCTTAGCTGCTGCAGCTGATATGTGTAGAGCATTATTATAATAACCGGTATTAGATATAGAATAAATTTCTATCACAAAAAAGTTAAACATGTATTCAATACGAGTTTAAAAAATTGTTTTACAAAATTTGCCTAAACAAGGATTAGAACACTTTTTCTAGTAAGACTGTTAAATTTGTACCATTTACAGTACACATACAGCTATACCTGCGCTTACGTTTATAGCATTGTTCGTTTGCAGTGCCCTTAGGAGTGATGTTGGAGAAGTATGAAAGTAAACTCGAAGATGACGAGAAACCAGACAGCGGCGCCGACAAGAACGAGGAAGATAAAGATTTCTTCGACGAATCTGGTGAGAGAGTAGAAAATATTGAACTACCCATATTCTTCAATGTTTACTATATTATTACTTAAGAAGATCAAAAGGACAATGATTCCTACAGAGCAACAACTTGTGTTTCAAGTAATCAAGAGTGGCAGCAACCACTTAGGCTTAATTTAAACGAGCGGCTCGCAGCTGACGGCTTCGCAAATTCAGCCGTCGCTGCCTTCCAACGGCAGTCATCGATCCGCCGACGGTAGCCGTCGACTACTGTAGCCAGCGTACGTACATACGTAAAGATACAAGTCCGAACTGAACCGCAGACAACAAGCCGCAGCTGCAGACTGCAGGCGACACTACTAGTTTCTATGAATCTCTATGAAATTGATTCCGAGGGCGGCGACATGCCGCGGCTGCACAATGCATATAATGCACGGTCAGCTGCAGGCGCTAGCCACAGTGTCGCCTGCAGCCCATTGCGGAACTGTACCTATTACGTATGTACGTACGCTGGCGGCAGAAGTCGACGGCTCCATTTGATGATAAGGCTTCATATACGAGCGGCTTGCAGCTAACGGCATCACAAATGCTGGCGGCAGAAGTCGACGGCTACCGTCGGCGGGTCGATGACTGCCGTTGGAAGGCAGTGACGGCTGCATTTGCGATGCCGTTAGCTGCAAGCCGCTCGTATATGAAGGCTTATCATCAAATGGACTGTCACAACTGCTTGTGAAAAGCATAAAAAAATTGTAAAGCAACATCAATGCAAAAATTTCAAAACTGCTATTAAAATAAATTTCATTGTTTTACAGAGCATCCATCATGTTATTTCTCGAAGGCGTTGTGTGTTTTTTTTAAATAAATTTTAAATTTGTATTATGTCGTGTGATATCTTATTGTTGTTTTAAATTTTTGGACCGATCGTACATCTTTGCCATATCATGTATGTACCCAACCTAGTTTCCTGACCTATACAATATTTCAAATTCAAATCTGTTAATTTTAAAAATAGATAATGAATTGTCTCATTGTTGTCGTTTAAAGAAACTGGAAGCAACAATATTATTCAAACTTAAAAGTAAAGAGACATCTCTGAGTACGGCCATGCGAGTTAAATTAACAAACGAAGAAACAACGAAACAAAGAAACTTCACAAAAGAGTTATTACACGTCTTGCAGAAGCAACGTAGTGAATTTCAACAATAGGACCCGCAGCATTGCACAATTAAATAATTTATTGTCGTTTCTGAATTTCTATAGAAATTGCACAATAGACGAGCATTGTGATGCACGGTGATAGTTAATTTACATACCTACCTGAATATTAGACAATACACACTAAAGAGTCAACTATGCGACTCCTAAGCTAAACCTTGAAATGAACGAGCTTAATAAATCTTGTTCTTGGTGATTTAAATGTAAATAGGTAAGCCAAAATTTAAGGGTAATGGCCAATACGATGGTATACAGCCACCATAACCGTTACTATGAACCACCTAATACCAAGTAAGTTGCCACCATAAGCTATGGATAGACAAATCGATCACGACCATAATAGAAGTCAATTTTAGGGGTACATGTGCTGAGCAACGTGTTTGATGATGTTCGTGATAATATTTTTGAGTACTAAATATTTGAGATCACTTAACATGGAACGTGGTGTTTTCTTTTAATTGTAAATGATTATTTTAAGTTTAATATATTTACCTTATTTAAAACAGAGGGTGTTGGTGAAAAATGGGGGGAACCGAATGCGAATCCAGCCCTGCAACTACCGGAAGAAACTCCAGCGACGACTTCTTTGAAGCCAGATACCGATACCACAACACAAGAATCTGGCAAGAAACAAAATGAATTGGGTAAATTAATTGATAACATTTACTATGTTGGATCTTAATGAGTAAATACTTCAAAAGTGGCAGTGCGCATTCCAACGCGAACACACAGATTTGGTGAATCATTGCTTTGACGCACTTCATACTATCCGCAAATGGAATACTTTGTCCGCTCACGTGTTCTGTCCCTCCTAAAAGCATTAGTCCTATTAAAGATGTGTGAAGAAATAACTTGCAGACCAGTACGGCGAGGATGGCTAGTTTGGCAGGTAAAACTGTTGAGCCTGTTGTTTCGCGTCTGGACTCCACCGTCACTTAACATCATAAGGTGTGGAGCCGTTTGCTCGGACCTACATTATACAAATATAAAGAAAAACTTATTGTCATGATCAAACATGTATTTTATTGGAGGGGCTTAGTACGCAGTTGCATGTGGTTATAACAAATCATCAAAGATCAGAGAAAGCAAATGAAAAAATACACAAAGGAATTTACTAAGTAAAATGGCAAATGTGCTTTTTTAAGCTTTGTTATATAGAAAACTTTATACACCCGATTAAAATACTGCAATATTATTCGATTTTAAAACTCATATGTATATTATATTAATAAAACAATTTGTTTAGGGATAACTACGTTCAAAACTAAATTTATTTGCTGTGCTTACGTGTGCGCTAAATACATATATCATTAAACGTTTTATTGAATGCAATGGTCAGTATAATGGTCAGTAATAGAAAATTTATAGAGATCCAATATAATAATTGAATGCACCGAAATGGCTACTCTTGGTTTGAATGCTTTACAAATTAGAGGTATTCATGATTTCCTGTAAATTGTTTAGATTTGCACACTATAATTACACTGTGAATTTTGAGTTACCTGAAAAACTTAAAATTCGTGTAAATAAAAATAGTGAGAACAGTTGTATACACCCTCATATAAAAATATTAATTTAGTTCGTTTACAAAATATTCTAAAACGGCAATTTGTAAATAAACTAAATGTTTTGAAATTGTTATCCGTTTTAAGTACGTTAATCCTAAAAGTTTAAAACAATTTATGACAATTGAAATTGTTAAGGTTGCATAATTTCGTAATTACTGAATTCATCATTGATAACTATTGTAGTTACGCTCGTATGGCAAAAAAATAATAATTACTACTTAAGTGAAAGCAATAATTTTGTACTTTACTCAGCTAAAAAAATCCTTTTCCACATCCGGGTTCACAACGCGTGTTTTGCTCTACGCAATCAACAAAAACATATCACAAAAACGATGCAACAACGAGGAGACACAAAACTTTGTTTCATTACATTATTTGCATGCATCAACAAAGTTTTTGCTTTCGAATCCCGATGGAAAACACGTACACATAATTATTAACCCCGCGCGGGTTGAGGGTACTGTTTCACATACATTACTCCTCCACATTTCACCACACTTATCATTAAATATAATTTTTCGAAATCTTATTAGGAATTGTGAAAAAAGTTTCCTATACCAAATCGATGTTTTTTTATTAAATTTTTGATAAATGTTAAAATTTCGCGCTTGTAAAATAGGGTCTAACTTTGTCTTTATTTAACTTCAAAATTACTAAAATTCCAAATATATCTTCCTTCCCAAACTTATTTTGTTTACTAGAAAAACTGTTTTGTGTACGACAGCCACGCGAGCATTAGATGGCGTCTACATACAAAACATGTTTCAGAAACAAAGTTTTGTGTTTTCGTTAATGTTTTCAAACAACTTTGCTGAAGACCCGGCTATTAGATTAGATTTAACATTGTAGAAAAATCGAGTAAGATATTAATATAATATTTTGTTTTCTGCAGGTTCTTCTCAAACAAAAATGAAAGAAAAAATTTTCATTTACATAGGAGTAGGACTACTAATATTCGTCCTAATAGTAGTGTTGATTTTCGTCATTCGATACTACAGAATCCGTAAGTTATTGAGTAACTCAAAAAATGGCGACATGTTCTCTACAGAGCCCCCTAATGTATTTAATGAGGCGTCTGATATTGACAACGACATAGATGTAAGTCATATATCTGGGACATTCTATGATCCCGTGCATCCTGATATGATACTATACAGAGATGTACCAGGGCATAAGGGGACAATAAGAGCTATGCGTCCCCTTTCCACAATCTACCCTTCAGGAGTGAGCATGTATGGCAATGACTACGTTCCTCCACCTCCTAGAGAAATAAGACTTCACAAAGAAAACGAACCAGAAGAAGCGCTGAGTCCAAAAAGTTTAGGCAACTATTCCAATTCTCAATTCTACTACGGGTGACGTCACGAAGCCGGAAGCAGCAAAGATTTCTCCAGAACCTACTGTTTCTAAAGAGATAAAACACTTTCTATATAGGTTTCGGATCAAAGTTAGCACGGTGATTCAATCTTAAAAGATTTAGATACTGTTGGTAGAGATTTGAAATGAAATTTCAAGGTTGGTGAAAATGTATACCTAAAGTTGAATGGAAAATTATACTACTATATTGTATTAATGACTTACACATTATTGATCTAATATATTTAAATGCACCATGTAATTTTATCTTAAATATTATGGAACTGCACCCGTATTTAAAAAATACCATCTGTGATTAATTAATATTAATGTAAGAATTTATTTAGATAAGTATGTAATCTAAAGAATTGGTATACAGAACGACTAAAAGGACGACCTTGTTAATCATATGAATACCTATAATAAAAGTAACTTTGTAAATATTTCTTATTAAGTGTACACGCCAATTTGTAAATGTTCCGATTAGTTTATCGCGAATTATAAATGTGAGCCTATTGAACATAATAATGCTATAAAATAAATCGTATTTCCTAACTATTCACCTCCTAAGATTTAATTGTCAAATTTTTTATATTTTTAATAAAACATGTTATAAGTGGTGTTTCATTTACAGTATAGGAATTATAATAAGTAATATTTGCATAATATTATCTTAATGTGACGAATCTCCATATTTGACTTACAGCTGGTATGTAGGTAAGCGTTGCTTGTTTGTTTTACAAAATAAAAAGTGGGCGTATCTCTCTAAGAATTTACTTCAATAATATGTCGGCCTAAGTCTTACACAGTAACTATATAATTAGTTAAATAAAACTAGTTTTGACGTGTTAATGCACGAACTTTATTTATTTATTGACGTTTCGCAGCCTTTTCAGGTCTGCATCGTCAGAATAATGATTTTTTATTTACTTTGTCGAGCTACCTTTGAAAGACTAACGGTAGTTAGGGTCAAATAAATAACTCAAAATTACAAAAAAACATTTTAAATAAAGTATTTTATTAACTAAATTATCTAATAAATGCATACATAGACAATAAAGTTTTAAAAATCTTCCAATGAAATATCCGAATGCTCAATAAAAGTCTTTCGAAGGCAGCTCGACAAAGTAAATAAAAATTCATTATTCTGACGATGCAGACCTGAAAAGGCTGCGAAACGTCAATAAAAAAAGTTCGTACATTAACCCGTTAAAACTAGTTTTATTTAATGAGTGATGTGCGTGAAAACCTAAGAAACAAATAATTAGTTATCATACAATTTTTAAAGACCAGGGTGACAAGTAATCCTTTGTTTCTTAATTTTATATTATCAGTTGAAAAATATACAGGGCGTCCCACGGGTACCTCACACGGAGGGAAAGTATATTAAATATTGAAGATAGGATATTTTACCGAAAGAAGACATCATTTTATTTTTAGTTATAACTAGAACTGCATTCACAGATTTTTTTAAAATCGCCTGCTAAAACGGGGAATCAAACTCGTGAAATTTCGAAAAAAAAACACTACATGTTTTATGATATTCATCGAAAGAGTTAATCATAACAATTATTTTTTGCTAAATAACATAGCATTTTAAATGAAAAAAAAAGTCATAAAATTACACATTTTATTAAAAATATTCAACAAAAAGTAATAAAAAACGAAATGTATCAAATGTTCAAAATGTGATCCGATTTGTTGTATGCAAATTCGCACTCTATTAATGTTTTCTTTGCCTGTCGATTTCATTATCTTTGCGTGGTGAATGTTTGTAATAATACGTCTGATTTATTTTGTAACTCCTGCACACTGTCTTACCGGTTCTTGTCCACCCCACAAAAAAAGTCTAGTGGGGTTAGATCTGGGGATCTCGCTGGCCATCTTATTTGTCCATAAGAACCGATCCAGGAAGGAAAGTGTTCATTAAGAAACTCGGCAGTTCTCCTACTCTTATGAGTCCCATTTTGCTGGAAAATGAGATTTCGTCGATTTGCATCAGGAAGATTATTGATCTCACCTCTTAAAATATTAAGTATTTCTAGATATCTTTCCGTATTTAGATTCCCTTTGTAAAAATATATTAAGAGAACCCAGTTTTTAAGTAAAATGAAAAACACAAAAAAAAGAACAGTACCTTTAGCACGAACCAATATCGAATTCGAATAGCTTTCGAGTGCGAAATGTCATTGTCAAATGTATATTGATTTTTAGTTCTCGTTACGTACTTTGTGGTGCTGCTGTATAAGTTTCCATACAAAATTTGACATTGACATTTCACACTCGCAAACTATTCGAATTCGATAATGGTAATTGCTAGGGGTACAGACGCTTGAAAATGTATGTGTTTTATTTTCGAATTATTATTTTTACAAATTTCAGCCAATCGCATTGTAACTGAGCTCAAAAAGAAATACTACAGTTTGTATCTCTTATCTATTAGACAAGTCCGTCCGTCTGTCTGTGGTGCTGTTTCAGCAGCCAAACCGTAAGAGATAGATAAAGAGAATATTTAAGTTATAAGTTAAGAATAGTCTGATAAGATTACAAACCGGATTTGAGTAACGTAGCACTTCCGGTTTTCGAGAAATCAGGTTTTGGTGAACATTTGGTTCACTGGTTTGCTAGTATCACTTTATTCTTTTTATCACATAATAAGACATTCCTTTCATTTAAAATGCTATGTTAATTAGTAAAAAGTAATCTTTATGATAAACCGTTTCGATGGTTAGCATAAAATATGTCGTTTTTTTTTCGAAATTTCACTAGTTTGATTCCCAGTTGTAGCAGTCGATTTTTAAAAAATCTGTGAATGCAGTTCTAGTTATTAGCAAAAATGAAATGATGTCTTCTTTTAGTAAAATATCCTATCTTTAATATTTAATATACTTTCCCTCCGTGTGAGGTAGCCGTGGGACGCCCTGTATATATATTACGATTACGAGCTTTAATTTTAATTCCAAAACAACTTGGAATTATATATATTATATGGTTAGAACTTTTCTATAAGTTCCAAACAACATTATTAAAACTTATATTATGTTTAGTTAAAATTTGTGTCACGCAATCCTGACATAATCTGAGTATTATACATAGAAGTTGTAATCGCATGGGATACAGTCGTTAAGTGAAGTCATGGGTTTTACAGCCATCACTCAAGAGGCCAAAAGCAGGGGATTTAACTTTGTGGAAAAGGCTCACAGATGCATGAGTAACATCCATTAAAATTAAGCACCGTTATGTTTATTAATAAATAATGGACACACCCTACGAATGTGGTTATGTAGATTATTATCTGCCTGCCCGCAAAGGTGAAGTTAGTTCCAAACTGCTTCAAATAGGTTGTTATCTTGTCTTTTTAATAGTAATTTATTAGTTTATTTTTAATTAAAACCATGCTGATGTCAAGCTTCGTATCAATTTAGAAGCTATGCAAGTCATCTCCCGACTTAGGAATTTGCTGTTTAGCCAAATACGACAGTTTTCTAATATCAGTAACAAATCGAACCATAATGGGTCTTAAAACAAGACGTATATAGCTATAACCAGAAAGTTAAAGGAACTACTAATCCATTATTTCAGGGATATTAGTTTTTTTTAATAAAATATCATTGTTCATAGAGAAAGCATAAAGTACGTATTAAGATTTGTCGCGGTCAGTCCGCGGACACTAAAATGTTTTGTTTATTAAATTCTCAACTCAGTACTTCTTCCTACCTGATGTTAAGATGATAGAGTCCAGTATAGAAAGACGAGGAGCTCGAAGTGGTTAGCGCGTTCGGCTGCGATCGTTGAAGTTAAGCAACTTTCGCAGTGGTCAGTCATTGGATGGGTGACCAAAAATTTACGATCTCGAGTTCCTCCGTGCTTCGGAAGGCACGTTAAGCCGTTGGTTTCGGCTACATCTGCAGTCGTTAGCAGCCGCCCATCCGCACTGGGCCCGCGTGGTGGATCATGGCCCATTCTCCCTATTCCATCCATAGTGAAGGCCTGTGCCTTTTTGCCATTAATAGGCTGATGATGATGATAGAGAGACGTTGTAGAATAGTATGTGCTTTGTCTGTCTCCGTTATGGCCTGATTATCCTTGAGAAAGCATTTAAAATTATATATACATATCAGAAATAGTGTTATGCCGTTGATTCTACTATAAACAAACCTTTGATTTTTAAACTGAGGCTGTAATATTTTATGATATTTCCATTATTAATACCAAAGAGGTAGAGAAGTCTAGTCTGGACTTGCCGCGAACACTTGTATATCTTTAAGATGTTTCAATCGGTCTTGACACTGACTTATTTTTTCATGCACACCGATCATATGATAAAACAAATCCTTTACTTTAAAAGCCTGTATATTTAAGAGGCGCAACAAATTACCCCACCCTACCTGGTGTTATGTATCCACTTAGGGAAGATATCGGATGCAGCGAAATATTGTGTTGCTGGAGTTATCGCCTTTCGTTGCTAACTTTGAACTCAATACTTCCCTGCAGAGCCCTGAAACCTTTGACACCCAATCTCTCCAACAGAAATACACAACCACCAAAATAATAAAAATAGGTTATTTAAAAGAGTTCTTCTGTAAAGTGGGCATTACTTTCTTAGTGAGTTGGCATTTCCGCTACGCCCTACTACTGTCTAAAGTTTCCTTCACTCCTACTACTTCTTTCCCAGTCTACATTGAAGATAAGTAAAACTATCTAGGTACACAATGTACTGCTTTTGTTGTTCCAAAGTTAGAACAGATAAGTTAAACCGAACGGAGCATAAACGGGTCAGCATCCTTGCAATCCTACTTTTTTCAACAAAATAACTTAGCGAACCTCTCAATAGTGAGAATATTTGATTCGAAAATGTTGTATCATAAATGTAATGAAAGATATGATCGAGTCACATTAAGCACCAATAATTGCATCACCATTCAAAGTTTGCTTTAAAACTATGTTATATATAGTTACGAAGTACATACATAGCACTTGAAAGGTTGGCTAAGCATAAAGGTGTCGCAGTTTGGACGTCAAAAAGTGTACAAATATTAACACACATCATCCACACCACTCGCAAACTTAAAACCTTGTCACCCTGAATATTGCCCGAGAGAGCCACCGGGCAAAGTAAAAGTACAGGTGTAAAAATAAAAAATGGTATAAAGGTATTGTTTACAACCTCAACAAAAGTGTCATCTAGAAGTGCGTGACACCGAGCTGGCAATACCGTAGCTCGAAATCTGCATTTTGATCGGACGTTGTTGCCATTGATTCGCGGTCATCAAGTGCCCTCCTCGTCATCTTTTTTCGACATTTTTCCTGCGAAACTGAAGCGAATTTTGAGAGACTTTGTTTTCTCAACATTTACCAATTTAAAAACCCTATTCAATATTTGATTTGTTTATTATATTTACATATTAATATTTAAATTACAAAAGCTTAAAATTAAATAATTTAAAATCTCGAAAAAAAGTTTGCTAAAGTTGGTGGCTGCTGCAAAAACCAGCCAATGATATTAAAGAGGCGATACTTAGTCGTGTAACTTCCTGAAACCTACAGCTATGCACCTTCACGCACTTTT